GCTGCACGGCGCGAAACTCTGCCCGCAAGTCGGGGTGGTGCTCTCCAGGCGTCGCCACGGTCCCTCGGGCGAAGCCGATCAGCCCAGCCATCTCCAGCTGGGGCTCGATAGCTTCCTTCCAGGTGAGAATGTCGGGTCTACCGATCAGTGGGGGGGTGACCGAGATCCTGTCCGGCGTGAACTTGAAGTAGCCGTAGCTCGGCGCAATCCCACCTGCCGTCACCTGGGACGCCGTCATCGGCGACAGCCCAATTCGTCGGCCTCCGATGTCACCCTGCGAAGAGCCTGCAGCCGCCGACGTCTGCATCCCTCGCGCCTGAACGCCGCCGACTTCACCGGCATGTATCACACCTCTTTGCCTCGACGTGCCTCCAGCACTGCTTCCGACTTGACCACCATCGGCGTTGACGCCCACGTCGACGCCGCCTTCGTTGTTCACCGGACGAGGAGAGGCAGGTCGAGACGGGTGCTCCGTCGCCCACGTGGAGCGGAGTCCAGCCTCGACGACCGCCCAGGGCAAGTCGCCATACTCATTGGCCTCATGCTTCCTCCTCGCGTTCTCCAACCGTGCCTCCAGGGTGTCCACCACCCCCGCGTCACCTACGGCTCCTACCATAGTGACTACTGCACAGTTGCCGGCCTGTAACTACGCAATAGGTAAGTGGTATCTACGTCGACCTGACTGAAAGGTAAGTCGTGTGCCGTCCACGCTCACCGCACCATGCGGAGATAACTACTACAACGGGAGCTTAGAGTACTGGCTAGGCACGTGTGCTCGTGTGATGTCTGCGTTCGTTGGTCCTTAGACGTTTTCCTAGTGCTCACACTGCTTGCTAGTTCATGGGGCAATTTGGCAAGAGTTTCACTAGAGAACGTTGTCAATAATGGTACAATGAAGTTGGCATGCAAGACTACATCAGAGCTAGCATTCAGGTTGGTCGACTGCCAGCACAGCATGGTCAACCGCGTTCCAGCACGACTTGGTCGACCACGCTACAGCAGTGCAAAGTCGACGGCTTGCCAACGCTGCAGGTTGACGGTGTGCCAGCATTGCTCACGCAGGACAGCAGTGCACCCGCTTTGCAGGTGCGCGCAGATGATTGGCGTGCAAAGTCTCGTCACCTGCACAGCGCACACACCACGTCAACCTCGGGCTAGCGACTGCCTCTGATCCGCCACGACGACCTCGGGATACCACCATGGAGGTCGGTCTCGCCAACTTCGCCTGGGTGACCGTCGCACTCCTTCGCAGAACCTCGTCACCCAGGTATCCTGGTCGACCGGGCAACTTTGTCGACCAGCTGCTCCTGTATGTGCTCGTCGACCTCCCAAGTCGACAACCACACCAAGTCGACCTCACCAGGTCGACCACTCCTCCGGTCGACCAGATCTAGGTCGACGTCACTCCTGGTCGACCAGTGCAGTTGTCAGCCGACCACCCAAGTCTGCTACCCAAAGTCGGCGTCACCAGGTCGAAGCCCCTTCTACGTCGGCGCCGACTTCCAGACTGACCTCTTGAAGTTGGCGACCTCCCAAGTCGGCGACCTCCCAAGTCGGCGCCGACGTGCAAAGTCGGTGACCTTGCAAGTCGGTGACCTTGCAAGTCAGTGACCTTGCAAGTCGGTGACCTTGCAAGTCGGTGCCGACTTCCAGGTCGACGTGCCACATCGCCGACCACCAGTTGAAGTCGGCCGCCGGCTTCCCAAGTCGGCGGCATTGCAGTGGCGCCGTGCAAGTCGACCAACCCCGTTGACCAGCTCGTCCAAGTCGGCGTCCCCACTGCTGCAAGTCGGCTATACCTTCCGTACACCCCACCACGAAGTCGGCTCCGCCCAAGCGTGGACGGGGCCAACACACAACTCCCGTTGACATTCTCCGGCGACGGTTTGCCGTGTAGTCCGATGGTCATACTACGCGTGTCATTCACCTGCTAACTGCTTTTGCACACGATGTAGGATTGCTGGAAAAGCTCAAGCATCGCCTACTAGAGATAACCACGCAAACGCGGGCCGACTCCACAATCCGTACATACGAGCCCTACTGGGTCAATTTCCGCTCCTTTTGCCAACACCACAAGCTCAAGTTCCTCCCATGCACTGACATGACGCTCGCGCTGTACCTGGTCCACGCCATTCAACACAAGGCTACGGTGTCTGCAATTCAGTTGACATGCTCTGCAGTCAGCTTCGCGCATCGGTCGATCGGGGCATCATGCCCGTCTATCGGCGCATTCACCTCTCAAGTCAGAGATTTTGCGAAGAAGCGATGTCTGCACCCGACCCAGGCCAAAGAACCCGTGTCGCTTCATCAAGTCCACGCGATGGCATCGGAATTTCTACAGTCAGACAACCCTCGCGAATTTCAGAAGGGGCTAATACCGATCATAATGTACGCCTGGTTTCTGCGCTACTCCGACCTTGCAGTCATCAACTGGCATGAGATTCATTTCGAGTCGGAAGTCATGTGGTTACTAATACCCCGTTCCAAGACGGATCAGGCAGGAGAAGGCACATGGGTCCCGGTAGCGGCAAGCCCTGGCCCTTTTTGCCCAGTTCGGTGCACCAAACGGTTCATACACCTAGCACGATACGATCAATCGCAACAAGGTCCACTCATCCGCGTCTTTGGAACAGAGGGTGGGAAAAACGGTGCCGCCAAGTCGCCATCCTACACAACAATCCGCAACTGGTGCAAAGAGGCCTTCAACAAAATCGGTCTTAGTTTCGAGCATCTCGGCACCCACTCTTTTCGGAAAGGCGCAGCAACTGTCGCAGCCAACGCCGGAATATCAAACCGCATCCTGAAGCGACTAGGAAGGTGGAGCAGCGACACCGCCAAGGAGACGCACATCACGCCTGCCGCAGACCAGCTTGTGGGGGCTTCGAAGCAAGTTCAAGACCCAGCACGAGCCCTCTCCCCCGCTCAACACGCCACGACAGTGGCGCGCCAACGGCGTCCAACAAGACACATGTCTGAGAAGACCCATTTGAAATGAGACGATGCCATTGCTACAACAAGACAGCGAGCTTTCTAAAATATGAATATTTTTAAAAGTTGTAACGCTTTTCAAAATTTTGTATTTTGAAAGTGAAGCGGCTTGTAATGTAGCAATGGTAATCGGCGAACCGCGCTAAATGCCCATTTTGGAGTACAAAACGTGGGCTGGAGGTCATTTCCCTCCACCCACGTCTTTCATTTTCAAACGGCTTAGCCTAGTTTCCCGCCCACCCACCCCGTAGAACTGGTGTCAGAACATATAGCTTACTTGTTTCTGTAGGCTATAGTGGGGTATCCCATAGGGGGTACAACCCAATTAGGGTTTCCTATTTGTACTCACTTCATTCATACTTCATTCATCCTCGTTCATATCTTCTCATGGAATCAGAGCAGGTCCCTTCCTAGGGACTGTTCCTAGGGCCCACCGAAGCACGCCCCGAGGCGCGCGGTTTTTTTTTTAGCGACCCTCCGTGTCGCCCTTACCGCCGTGCTCCCGCTTAGGCCCCTCGTCGGCCCCGCTTAGGCCCCTCGTCGGCCCCGCTTAGGCCCCTCGTCGGCCCCGCTTAGGCCCTTAGTCGGCCCCACTTAGGCCTCGTCGGCCCCGCGTAGGCCCCGTCGGCCCCGCTTAGGCCCCGCTACGGCCCCGCGTCGGCCCCACTTAGGCCCTGTCGGCCCCGCTTAGGCCCCGCTACGGCCCCTCGTCGGCCCCATGTAGGCCCTGTCGGCCCCGCTTAGGCCTCGTCGGCCCCGCTTAGGCCCCGCTACGGCCCCGCGTCGGCCCTGCTTAGGCCCCGTCGGCCCGCCTAGGCCCCGCTACGGCCCCTCGTCGGCCCCGCCTAGGCCCCGTCGGCCCGCCGTTGGCCCCGCTCCAGCCCGCCGTCGGCCCCGCTACAGCCCTCTGTCGGCCCCGCTCCAGCCCGCCGCCGGCCCCGCTACAGCCCGCCGTCGGCCCCGCTAGAGCCCGCCGCCGGCCCCGCTACAGCCCGCCATCGGCCCGCCGTCGGCCCCGCTACAGCCCGCCGTCGGCCCCCGCTACAGCCCCGCTACAGCCCCGCTACAGCCCGCCGCCGGCCCCGCTACAGCCCCGCTACGGCCCGCCGTCGGCCCCGCCGCCCGTGCTGCAGCCCGCCGCGCCACCGTGCAGCCGCCCGTGCAGCCACCCGCCGTGCCGCCCGTGAGCAGCCCCAGCCGCCCGTGAGCCGCCCGTGCAGCCGCCCGTGAGCCGCCCGTGCAGCCGCCCGCGCCGCCCGTGAGCCCCTGCGTCACCCGAGCCGCGCGAGCCGCCTGAGCCGCCCGAGCCGCCCGAGCCGCCCGAGCCGCCCGAGCCGCCAGAGGAGCCGCACTCCTGCTCGTGTGGGGCCACTGCTGCTCCTGGGCTGTGTTACTGTGCCGCTGACCTACCCGACTTTTCCTGCCCGGTGAGACTGTCAGCTGCTGTCATGGCCACCCCCACTGTCCTAGCTTTTGATGCTGAGGGTAGAGCCATTGACTTTGCAGTCTGGATTGAAGACCTGCAGCTGTACTTACAATGTGATGCGATAGATGAGGTCTCTCTCTTTGACTTTGTCTCTGGCGCTGTCCCTGCCCCTCCTGCTGATGCTGACCCCGCCGTTCGCATCCAAGTGGGCGACCCGCGATGCTGCTGCACGTCTTGCTGTGCGTCGCCACCATCCCTTCCTCCGAGCGTGCCCACTTTAGTCAGTGCAAGACCGCTCAGGCCTTGTACGACGCTGTAGTTGCACGCTACTCCTCCCCTTCCTCCGCTACGCTTAGTCGCCTCATGCTACCGTTTCTCTTCCCTGACCTCGCTGCCTTTCCCACTGTCGCTGACCTCGTTACCCACCTCCGCGCTAGTGACGCTCGCTACCGCGCTGCCCTTCCTGCTGAGTTCCGCGCCGCAAACCCTCCTCCCATGTACATCACTCTCTACTTTCTCGTCACTCGTCTCCCTGAGTCCCTTCGTGTCGTTAGGGACCAGTTTCTCTCTGTCTGTCCCACCACCCTCACTGTCGACCTCCTTGAGGAGTCCCTGCTAGCGGCTGAGAAGAGCATCGTCGCTGTAGGGGCCTCTCGGGGTGACCCTCGCACCCCCATTTTTGAGGGGTGTTCTCCTTCCCCCCTGCTGCCCTCTGTCGCCTCTGCCGCTGCGGCCGACCTCGCTGGTTTTGAGTCGGTCGGTGCGGCGTCTGCCCCCAGCGGTAGACGCCGCACTGGCAAGGGCAAGGGGGGCAAGGGAGCGGGTGGAGCTAGAGGGGGCGGTGGCGGGGGAGGTGGGGGTGGCGGGGGGAGTGGGGGTGGCGGTGGAGGTGGTGGAGGGAGTGGAGGTACTGGTGGAGGCGGTGGAGGCGGAGGTGGCGGCGGAGGAGGTAGCGGAGGAGGAGGGGGTGAGGGTGCCAGTGGGGGCGGTGGCGGTGGAGACGGGGATGGCGGTGGAGGCGGGGGTGGCGGTGGCGGTGGGGGTCGGAGTGGCTCGTCTCAGCGGAGCAGCTCTGGGGGTGGTCAGCGCCAGCAGCAGCTGCAGCGCTCTCGCACCGTCCCCCGCCCCTCAACAGCTCCGTGAGTGGTACTTGCAGCGTCAGCGTGGTGGTGCGTTTGGTCCCTGCCCCTACGTTCTTCGCACCGGCGACCGTGCGGGGGAGAGGTGTGGAGGCACCCACACAGCCCGCCGCTGCTTTGGCCGCCTGACCGACGCCTGGCGTCAGCAGTTTCCGGAGGCCGCTGAGATCCCCCGCTGGGGGGAGCTGTCTAGGGCTGGTGTAGCTATTTATGATCTTGACTTTGATGCTATTCTTTCTGCTATGTACACTGTGACTGGTAGTGATGAGGATGACTGTTACCGGTGTTTCCCGCCCGACCCGGGAATTGGTACTGCTGCGTCAGGTACTCGTGAGGCTGCTGCTCTAGGTGCCAGTGCGTCTGTGCTCTCAGGTACTGGTGAGTCTGCCCTCTTAGGTACTGTGTCGGCTTCGGCCTCTCACACCTTCACCCTTGACTCTGGAGCGTCTCGCTCCTTCATTCGGGACCGCACCACTCTCACGCCGCTGAGTCGGCCGGTTGCGGTGTCCCTGGCTGACCCCTCTGGGGGGCCTGTCCTGTCTCGCTTCTCCACAGTCCTCCCGTGTCCGGCGGCTCCCTCTGGCACCCTGACTGGTCTCTACCTCCCCTCGTTCTCTACGAACCTGGTGAGTGGTGCTGACCTACAGGATGCGGGTGTCCACCAGTTCACTCCTGCTCGTCAGCGGGTGACCCACTGCACGGAGGCTGGCACAGGTCGCCACCTGGCTACGTTTACACGTCGGCCGGGGTCAAGCCTGTACACACTGACCACTGCTTCTCCTCCAGGTACTGAGTCTGGTAGGGTCCCTTCGTCTGGTCAGGTGTTTGCTGCAGCGTCCAGGTCTGGCCCTGAGTCTGCCCCCTGTTCGTGTCGTCGTCTGTCTCACGAGACCCTCCTCTGGCACCACCGCCTGGGTCACCCCTCTCTTCTTCGGCTCAGAGGCATGGCCTCCCGTCTTCTTGTGTCTGGTCTTCCCCGGTCCCTCCCTCCCCTTCCTCAGGGCCCTGGCCCTGCCTGTGTCCCCTGTGTCGAGGGGCGCCAGCGTGCTGCCCCTCACTCCTCCCAGTTTCCTCCGACAGAGGCCCCGTTGCAGACGCTTCACATGGACGTGTGGGGCCCAGCCCGCGTCCGTGGACAGGGTCAGGAGCACTACTTCCTGCTCGTTGTTGACGACTACTCGCGTTACACCGCAGTCTTCCCCTTGCGCAGCAAGGGTGAGGTCACTGAGGTGCTGATCGACTGGATCCGTGCAGCTCGTCGTCAGCTCAGGCAGAGCTTTGGCTCCGACTTTCCTGTGTTGCGTCTGCACTCGGACAGAGGCGGAGAGTTCTCCTCTGGCCTTCTGCGTGCCTACTGTCGTGCGCGAGGCATCCGCCAGTCCTTCACGCTTCCGGACTTTCCGCAGCAAAATGGGATTGCTGAGCGCCGCATTGGCATGGTCATGGACGTCGCCCGTACGTCCATGATGCATGCGGCTGCCCCCCCATTTTCTGTGGCCGTTTGCGGTCACGTACGCAGCGCATCAGATCAACCTTCACCCCAGGGTCTCCAGGCCGGAGACCTCCCCAGCCCTGCTGTGGACGGGAAAGGTTGGCGATGCGTCGGCGTTCCGGGTCTGGGGATCTCGGGCGTTTGTCCGCGACTTGTCTGCGGACAAGCTGTCCCCTCGCGCTGCTCCCTGCGTCTTCCTGGGGTTCCCCCCCGACGCCCTTGGGTGGCAGTTCTACCACCCCACCTCTCGACGTGTTCTGTCCTCCCAGGGCGTCACTTTCGTCGAGTCGGTACCCTACTACCGCCTCTTCCCCTACCGCACTCCGTCCCTCCCCCCACCCCCGCTCTTCTTGGTACCAGGTCCCCCCCTGGTAGACCCCCTCCCCCCTCAAGGTCCTGCCCCTTCAGGTGTGTCTCAGGTAGACGCGGTCGAGCCTGTCGAGGTCACTGGTGACTCTGGTGCTGCTGCGGGTGCTGAGCCTGGGGGTGCTGAGCCTGGGGGTGCTGAGTCTGGGGGTGCGGAGTCTGGGGGTGCTGAGCCTGGGGGTGCTGAGCCTGGGGGTGCTGAGCCTGGGGGTGCTGAGCTTGGGGGTGCTGAGCCTGGGGGTGCTGAGCCTGGGGGTGCTGAGCTTGGGGGTGCTGTGCCTTGGGGTGCTGTGCCTGGAGGTGCTTCGTCTCGCCGTGAGCCACTCTCCCCACAGGAGCTGCGTGAGTGGTTTGCCAGGCGCTGGAGGCGTGCTGCTGGTGCTGGAGGTTCTTCGACTGCAGAGGGTGCTACCGCCCCGGGTCCCGGAGGTGCTCGTCTTGGGAGTACTGGAGCTGCTGGGTCTGAGGGTTCTCCTGGAGCTGGTGCTGCTGAGGGTGTTGGCGCTGAGACTGCCGCTGGCGGTCCGCCTGGCAGTGCTCGTGGTGGTGCTGCTGGAGGTTCTGGCGCTACTGGAGGTGCTGCTGGAGGTGCTGTTGGAGCGGGTACTCCTGCTGGGGGTACTGGTGCTGTCCCTGCTGTTTCTGGCATCGCCGCGCGGCCCCGACCGTACTTCGTTCCGCTCCTGCAGCAGGTTCTTGGTCTTACACCTTCTCCTGGTCCTCCTCCTCCTCCCTTAGAGGGTCCACGGCCTGTCCAGTCACAGCCACAGCTACAGCCTGCCTCCCCTTTGCCTGCTCCTTCTCCCTACGCTGGTCCGACTGGAGGTCTTACTGAGCGTCGTGAGCCTGCGTCTCGTCCTGCGTCGCCTGTTCGTACTGCGCGCGCTAGTGGTCGCGGGTCGCGTCAGCATCCTCCTCCGGTCCCTGGCACTCACCGGATGTCACTGCGTCCGTCTACTGCTCCTCTGCGTGCCCCTTTGCCTTCTCCTCCCGCTTCCTCTCTTCCTGCTCTTGCCGACCCGGAGTCGGACTCTCTTCGTGCTGCCATTCCCACTGTCACGCGTCTCCTTGCTACTGCTGTCACTGGCCCTTCCTTCGAGTCGTCTGCTGCGTCTGCCCTTGTCACTGAGCTTGTCGACTTTGCTGCGCGCTGTCGTCTAGACTACGCTGCCAGTCTTGTCGCTGAGTCTGAGTCTGCCTGTCCTCCGTCCGTCGGGGGTGAGTGTGCCCTTGGCACGGACGTCCTTGAGGACAGGCAGGAGGAGTTCCAGTGTCTGGCCGCCGCTTCACCTCATCTCGAGTCTGTACTGCTAGCCCCTGAGGGAGACCCGGATGCACCAGACATCCCGACTCCGCGCTCTTACGGGGAGGCGATAGAGGGTCCCTACTCCTCTCAGTGGCAGGCAGCTATGGATGCAGAGATGGCTTCCTGGAAGTCCACAGGCACCTACGTCGACGCTGTTCCCCCTCCTGATGCGAACATCGTCAGTGGCATGTGGATTTTCAGGGTGAAGCGGCCGCCGGGTTCTCCGCCTGTCTTCAAGGCGCGTTACGTGGCTCGTGGCTTCAGTCAGCGGCAGGGGGTTGACTACTTTCAGACCTTCTCCCCCACCCCGAAGATGACCACTCTTCGGGTTCTGCTGCACGTTGCTGCTCACCGTGACTACGAGCTGCACTCTCTTGACTTCAGCACCGCTTTCTTGCAGGGCAGCCTGCACGAGGAGATCTGGCTGCGTCGCCCACCTGGCTTCACTGGGTCTTTCCCTCCTGGTACCCAGTGGAGTCTCCGGCGTCCAGTCTACGGTCTCCGCCAGGCGCCACGTGAGTGGCACGACACACTGAGGACTACGCTCGCGGCACTTGGGTTTGCTCCTTCTACTGCCGACCCGTCGCTGTTTCTGCGCACCGACACCTCACTGCCGCCGTTCTACATCCTCGTGTACGTCGACGACTTGGTCTTTGCCACAATTGACACTGCTGGACTCGCCTACATGAAGTCCGAGCTGCAGAAGAGACACACGTGCACTGACCTGGGTGAACTGCGTAGCTACCTTGGCTTGCAGATCACCCGGGACAGAGCACGCCGCACCATTACCCTGACTCAGTCACACATGGTGCAGCAGGTCCTTCAGTGCTTCGGCTTCACGTACTCCTCGCCTCAGGCCACTCCTCTGCCTACTCGCCACTCGCTCTCAGCTCTGCCTTCGGATGAGTCCGTAGAGTCGAGTGGCCCGTTTGCAGAGCTTGTTGGCTGCCTCATGTACCTGATGACCTGCACACGACCTGACCTTGCATACCCTCTTAGCATTCTCGCACGCTATGTTGCTCCTGGGAGACACCGACCAGAGCACATGGCTGCAGCGAAGAGGGTGTTGCGCTACTTGTGCAGTACGTCGGGCATGGGGCTAGTGCTTGGAGGGCGCAGTCCAGTGGTCCTCACTGGGCACGCAGACGCTTCTTGGGCTGACGACCAGGCTACGCAGCGGTCGTCACAGGGTTACACCTTCAGCCTTGGTTCCGGCTCTGTTTCGTGGCGGGCTACCCGCTCGTCGTCTGTTCTCGGCTCCAGTTGTGAGGCTGAGATCTACGCTGGGGCTATGGCTGCACAGGAGTTACGCTGGCTCACCTACCTGCTGACCGACCTTGGAGAGCAGCCTCGTTCTCCTCCAGTCCTGTACGTAGACAACAAGGCCATGTTGGCCTTGTGTCGAGAGCAGCGACTGGAGCACAGAACGAAGCACATTGCTCTCCGCTACTTTCTTGCTCGTGAGCTACAGCAGCGTGGACAGTTGCGACTTGCGTACGTGGCCTCTGAGGCCAACACTGCTGATGTCTTCACCAAGGCACTTGCGCCTTGTGATCATCAGCGTTGTTGCACGCAGTTGGGTCTTGTGCCTGTCTGGCCTCACTTGCTCTCCTCTTGACCTTGCTTGTACCTTCGCCTATATATACTCTTGCTCTTGCTTGCTTGACTCTTGTATATCTCTATATATGATCTTGCATGTGAACTGGCCTTCTGGCCTTTGAACTTGTGCTCGGAATGCGTGGTGACCTTGTGATCCACCCTGAGCTTTGCTTTGCTTTGCTTGACTGGTCTTGTCACCCCTTGTTCTCCCCGACTTTGCCTATGGGGTGTGTCAGAACATATAGCTTACTTGTTTCTGTAGGCTATAGTGGGGTATCCCATAGGGGGTACAACCCAATTAGGGTTTCCTATTTGTACTCACTTCATTCATACTTCATTCATCCTCGTTCATATCTTCTCAACTGGGACCAATCATGGATAGTTGATTGCTTTAGAATAATTGCATGCTAGCTTGGACATGTCTGTACGATGCCATTTGAAATGAGACGATGCCATTGCTACAACAAGACAGCAAGCTTTCTAAAATCATTGGGATAAAAGGGCTTATTAAGTAGCGGGTCAGTGCGCCCATAACCCCCCAGGACAACGAGCATGTAACCCTTCCTTAGGATCAATCGAGGATCACCAGTGGACCTCTGACACCCCCCCCCCCCCCCCCCCGCACTAGGATGCCCGAAGTGCACACACTGGGATTCGAACCCGAGACCTTTGCTCTGATACCATGTCAGAATCCCAA